CCGATCACATCTATCATCGTTTTCAAAATAACATTTATTACAACTCTTACAATTAAATCTGACAAGGAAAATGATAACCGAATAAACTGACAACGTAACGAACATAGTATTCATGATCACTCCGTAGCATCATCGGTTCTTACTCGATGCACGGCAAAAATTTTGGACTACATTAAATTATTCATAAATCAGCCAGTTCACTATTTGGAGGCACTCTGAAAGCACAAAAATCAATCCTCTAGAAGTTAGCCTAGGGTTTATTTGTACAACAGAGCTCACCGGATGCGCCGCCGCAGCTTCCTTGAACTTGTCGTGGAATTCCTTGGCAATTTCAGCTGTTTTGAATTTCGCCGTAAATATCTCATCCACACCCTCATTTGATTCCGAATAATCCTTAAAGTCAAACTCTCGCTATTCCAAAATATATTATGAACTTCACAAGACGTTAAAGGACATGGACATTCAATAAGGTTTTTCCTAGAATACTCTGAGCCTTCTCATCACACTCATTTCATAGGAGGAAGGACAAGACAATCGTAATTTGTCGAGTTTTCGCGCGCGGGACAGCAGCAAATTGTCGATCCGCATTGTTTAGCAACTCATGAGCCCAGACAAGTTTCCATAAAACGCTATATCAAACCAGCACTTGAACTTAAACCTTCAGGCCATGACAAGACGTCCGATAGGCGCCGACGTTTCGCCACTCCAAGGGAATATTACGATTGTCTTGTCACACATCCCTTCCCCCTCCCCTCATTTCATAAAAAGACTTCATACAAACAACTAAGGGATAAAATCTACTTAGTATTCTGAACAAAAGTCGAAAAAGAAAGGTAAAACCCCCAGAAAAGGGAGTACAACTACAATAATAAGGCTGAAAGCTTACGCGACATATCCAGTTGTAGACGTTTGGCATTCCCTTCTTTTCATTCAATTCAATTGTGGGTAGATAAGCGAAATTTGCATCAGACTTATTATGCAACTTGTTCGCGGCGCATCACCACGCGATGAGCATTATTTTTAGGATTACGAAGTATCTGAAAACAAGTTAATTATAGAGCGCAAATGACAAATTAATGAAAATGAGTACACGGAGAAAACGCCAACGGAATAGGGTACCTTGAGATCACCAACACCACGCTCTTTATTCTCTTTGGTCTCCTTGATGAAACGGAAAAGTTTCGCCCTAGCAACAAACACGACCTAAATAGTAAGTCATTAAAAACGCATAGGGACATATAAATGTCAGATCAGCCCAGCAAGAAACAGGAACTGACCGTAGAGAACACAAAACTCAAGAAGAAACAAAAACAAGAGCAAATCTACAACGAACCTGCTCTTCTTCTTCACCGGTTTTTACATCTACAAGGTCTGGAAGAGGAACCACTGGAGCAAAATGCACATCCGGTTCATACTCTTCATCAGCACCGTGCTCTGCGTCTCCCTCTCCACCTTCTTTGTGCTTCGTTGAGTCAGCTTTGGATTGCTCTGCCGCAACAGCGAGCTAAAAAACAGTGAGTCGCCTAGATAACTTCGCGTTAACCTTGGATTTTAATAACTGAAAAAGTTTGTACTTCCACTAGCACGAATGATGAATACCAAAATATCGCACTGGCAAGCCTACCAGCTCTCTTGTACTATACTGTTCGACCACTCAAAGAAAGACCCCACGATCAGCAACTCGCAGGATTTCTTTGCTCAAGTAGACCGGTGAGTAATCGCAGAGATTCTCGCACTTTCGCGGCTCCACAATCAGGGAGAAAGGCGCTACGGTCATCACGAATTGTCGTTATTTACGGTACATCCTACGACACACCGAATATAACCGCAATGTATGATGGCTGCAGCGCCCACGTCCATTAGGAGAGCGAAAGAGAGACAATGTTTGCAGTTAGCTCCGGACTACTTGTGCAAGGAAGGAATCCTACGAATTTGATAAACGCGAGGTCTGTCTTAACCGAAGTAGGGCAAACTCCGTACAAATGATAGGGCAACCCGCGACAAAAGTCCCAAACTGCTCAGTTGCCTACAATTTAGGCCGTATAGAACTGCGTGATCGAAAAATGGACTACAAAAACTAGGAAAACATGTCCGTGGCAAATGTTGAGAATCTATATATTGGGAATGCTGCACTTAAAGGCAGTTGGCACGACAAAGCTCCCAAACGCGTACGACTTAATACGCCTAACACGAATGGCGCCTCTGAGCAAGCTCTGCGTGGCACCTTTTCCAAGGAAGGTATCCTCGCAGAGCCCTATCAAGCTGCAACATACCAACCCGAATGCCCCGCACCCGCCAGCCCACAATGTAGGACCGATCCTGATGCTCGTATCGCTTCATTTGCGAAGTAAAATAAGAGGCGAAGGGATTGATATGAAGCGGCTGCGGTGCTGCATGGATATATGAGCACATACATGCAGCCGTATCTACCGTAGTGGTTATTGGCAAGATCGGGGAACTCGCACGAAATTGCTTTCTGAGTCGCGTAGAACAAAGGCTTCTTCTGCAGGTTTTTAAACGACGTTTGACCGTTTCACTTTGTTTTTCGCTAATTCCTATTATTTCGCAGCCTTATCGTGCCAACTGCCTTTAATCTAATATGTTGAATGCGAGTGCTATTTTCGAAACTAAATCACTAATAGGCTAAGCACTGCCATGGAAAGTAACATCTAAACGCTCAGTTCTATCAAAGGGGAGGGGTGCGGAGGGCTTTGTGTATTTTCCGCCTAAAAGGCTGAAGGCCAATCTGAATACACCTTCGGAAAACTTCTGCCTTACCAGGAAGGTCAACAGGTCAGCCTGGCCATTTCCAATGAGCTGCACACCGTTGTACGCGTCTTGGGACAGTGAACTCAAATCTACCTTCAGAATTTGCGGAACGATTCTCTGAACGGAGTTATGGAGGGTTTTATCCCCGCGTGGTCGTTTCACATGCTATCGCGAGGAAACGTGGAAGCGTCTTTACATTTATGTATGGAGTCATGCTGAAACGTGGTAGTAGAGCGCAACGGGTAGGGAGCGGGTTTCTTAGGCGAGACGTCGTAGGATCGGTTCCGGGGCAGATCGCTTTTTTTTGCATTTGTCCAAGAACATAGCCGACAAAGCTTCTAACATCTCTGCTCGCCTGCACTTCCCTATAAGAGAAGCTGCCATCGATTTTTTTTTGTTGAAAGTTGGACCCATTTATGGCCTGAAAGAGTTGCTTGTGGCTTGTTCCCCCTTGTAGAACAAGTCACAAGGGTTTTTGCAATGAAATACCATCATATTCATGTTCAGCGGGTCAAATTACCCCTGGGGACAAGTTCTAGCCGAATCTGATATTTCGACCTCACCTGAAAATGTGGGGTAATTAGCAGCAGATTGGAGCTCACCTACCATCGATGACTGATCTGAATGGGATTTCCTCCCGATAGTCAAGAAAATGATGCAGACGGCACAAATAAGTAAGCCAGGTACTGTTTTTGCAAAAGACATGACTGAAGAGTTATTTCAGTTCGAAGACCGGTCATCATCAGTATGCTAGCCATAGCATCGATGTTGGCTATCAGTCAGCCATGACTATCCATACCCCATTTTTTTAGAAGTTGAAGTAAGAATCCTTCGATTCGCTAAGGTGACGATCCCTAGGAATTATTTGAGCCGCCTGAACACGGAATATGATTACCGCTGTTCTGCGCGAAGAGCTGCTGGTGAGGTCGCGGCTACATGTGCCAACGCTTCGGCGCCAGCGCGCAGGTAAGAAGAAAAACAGTTTGAAAAAAGCTCTCAACTCCGCTCAGAGAATCGTTCAGCAAATTTAGAGTAGTTTGTGATTCACGTCTCAAGACGGGTACAACGATGTGCATCTCATTGCAAATGCCCAGGCTGACCTGTTGACCTTTCTTGGTAAGCCACGAATGATACCATGTTCGTTTCCCGTCAATTCTTCAGCGTGTTGGAAGGCATTTGGTCAAGAAATGAAAAAGTCGACTGCGAATGGGGAAGGGCGGGCGGGGGCGAGGAGGGGGAACGACTAGGATTTCTATATGAACCGGGGAGAAAGGAGTCCCGGCCGTGAGTAATGATCCAACTCCCTGTATGAAAGCGTAGTTCGAAAATAAAACTTCGCAAATTTGTCTTGTTCACAGAAGTTTGAAGTGCACCTGTAGCCGAACTGCGCCAAATCTGATGAGTAATATTGTAATGTGTCATATACAACACTTTTTTGGTTTGTTTGTTTGGATTCGTTGTTATTCTTAATAAGAATACAAAACTAATCCATGCAAAAGGACACCGCCTTGCTTTTTGGCTTGAGCAGCAAATTCTGCTATGTGCTTTTGCGTATGAGCAGAGTCGAAGATAGATCCCGAAGCTGATTTTGCAAGACTAGCAAATGAAAGGTTACTACCAAATCCACTGCCGAACACCTGCAGAACAGATAATGTTCCAGACAGTACGAAATAATTATGAGAACCTTTACCTTTTGTTCACTCTTAGGCTGTGTTGTCGCATCTTTTTCGTCCTTTTCCTCTTCCTTCTTCTCTACAGTGGACGCAGTGCTGGAAGCCCCAAAAAGCTTGCTACTACCAAACAAGGAACCACCCATGCCTGGCGTGTGGATGTAGATCAGTGAAGCTTTATTCAAAACTCTACACGTGGAAGAGCCGCAAAAAGCACCAACCTGGTTTGAAGGAGAACGTAACAGGAGTTGAAGCGCTCGTCGCCGCTGTAGAAGTCGGAGTTGCAGAAGCTTCGGGCTTTTTTGCAAACGAAAACGTGGGCAAGGCTGAACTTCCTTCTGAAAGCATTGCTTTGCACTAACCAGAAACATCCAATGAACAGCAATGCAAAAAAAATAAAAAAAAATAGAGGCATAAAGATCACCTGTAGGTGGTTTTGGAGAAGAGCCACCGAAAATCGATGGTTTCGCTCGAATGTAAAACCACTGGACGGAGTTGAGCCAGAGGGAGCTGCTGTCAGAGAGGCTCTAAAAATTCAAATGGATTATAAATATTCAAGCGCAGACTATCAAAATGAAGATTAACAGGAAATTTGTGAGAGAGAAGAAAAATACCCGAATAACGACGATTTTGGTGTATTGGATGACGATGATGGAGTCGTCACAGGTGGGGAAGCCTTAGCTGCAGCCGCTGCGCTCAAACCGAAAGTAAACTTCTGTCCTTCACTTGTTGGTGCTCCGCCGAGAGGAATGCTTGAGGTGGGCAGTGTTGACCTAAATAGAACGTATGACAAAAATCGAAAGCATTTTGAAATATATGCACTGGAACGAGATAATCGAATGACCGTTGAACCACGGGTTTGAGCAAACCGGTACTAAACCGGCCATCAAAACCGAACTACGGCGCTAACAACCTTAAGGGGAGGGTTAACCAATCAAGTGATTGTGAAGCCTTCGACCTAGCGGTTCATTGCCGATATCTAACGATTACGGCTGGGCGAACGGAGAGGCACTCGCTTGCAAGGTAAGAGATGGGGGTTTGACTACCGTCCGGGGTTCGACTTTTGCCCATAACTCAGCATTCTTGTGATAACTTTCGGAACGCGAACTGCGGCGTAAAACAGCAGTTACCACAACAAAACAACTCATCAGAGGATTCTTTCGTGCAGAAGTAGATTCGCCACAAAAACGTTGGATTGTGGGCGAAAGTCTTGGCCCTAGATGTGGGTCTCAAACCAGCACCTCATGCATTCCGGACGAGCGTGCTCTCCGCAAGTTTGTTGTGAGGTGCAAGTTCGAGTCTCAAGCGGTCAAGACCATAAACGTATGAATGCTGTACGGCTACGGCATGAAGGTGAGAGGATAAGAGCGGCACTGGTGGCGTAACCGAGAACGCTTTTACCCGAATAGCGTGAGGTGCTGCCTCGAATCGCGCCTGGGGTCAATTATGGAGACTTTTGCCTATACCTAAAAGAAGGGAAGCCCTAGGTTGGATGAAGCTCTCTCCGTATGATGTTCATACCAACTGTGCACAGAGAGGTGTTTTCCAAACCCTCATGGTTGTTGGTACTGAAGCTTCATGAAATCATGAAATCGGATGAATGTTACACCTATCTTTGCCCTTTTGGTGCACTCTAAGGCTGACCTGGCACTCCCGCTCAAAATGATGCGCTCAGCATTGTGCCCAGTCGCGAAATAAATATTCGGGGGCCGAAAAGTCGGGGAAAGCCTGTTAAATAGGGGGCATGAAGACTGCATGTGAGCCCTCTGTGGCAAAATTGAATCTGCAACGCGGTTTTCTAGCTTGAGTCTTAGTTCGTAGAAGAAATAGGTGCACCCTCCCGTTTCGAACAAGCGCACTAGCACAGGACGAACTCCCCTCCTTAACGTGTGCGGTCTTTCGAGCGAAACATTTGCTCCAGAACTCCATTTGCCTTTGTTTTTGACTTATTTTTTATCAAATTTTTTCTTCGTATGATGTGTTAATTGTGAATAGAATTATTCTGTAGAAATAAACAGTGCATAAAAAAAAAAACCAAAAAAAATATGAAAAATATGCCCGTTTCGCAATAAGCGGTAGAAGCGATTGTGAGGAACACAGGGTTTCCCTCTGTTTCCGAAGTACGCCCGCTCCGAAGTGCCTAACTGACTCTGTCATGTCCTACTCACAACTAATAAAAATGTATATAGGAAAGAAAAGTATTGTAAACGATATAACCTAGAGAAAACATAAGAAATAAACTTACTAGTTGCAGGAGCCGGCGCCTTATCTCCTCCTTTCGCAAATCCACAGCAGGGGCACTTGTCTGCAGCTGTACGGGAGTAACATTCTGGGCATTCCCATCTATAACACCCCGTTCTCAATTCCGAAACCATATGTAACAATTAACAAAGTTAAAAACGCACTGTCCAGGCTGTAGCTTAAACTGGTCTCCATAGCCCTTCTGCGAAACGTTTTCCTTACTATCGAGCTCCTTCTCTTCCTTCTTGTCCTCAGTCTTCTTCTCGGTCTCAGTCTCATCCTCTTTCTTAGCTGACGACTTGTCCTCCTTCTTTTCAGTCCCACTTGGCTTCGCAGGAGAAACTGCTGAATGCTTGTACATTCGTATATTTTCACAAAACATTGTATACAATGTCGCAAGAACAGATCATGCCTACCTGGTCCAGCATTCTTGACAGCATTTTCGAAAACTTCCTTGAACTTATTAGCTACTTCCACACTTGCAAATCGAGCCGAAAGTTTTTCGTGAACTGTTTGTCCCTCGGAGAAATCCTCACAGTACCATGTCATAGCTTTTTCTTGGCGCTGCATTACTTGGATTGTCATGCCAGGCAAAAGCTGATGATTTGCGCACACCTTCAACACCTGAAGAAAAGAAGAGAAAACTGACAAGGATCCTTCTGATCCACAAACACAGTAGCGGATAGTTCACTAACCTGCTCCCTGCGCATAACAATGCGACACTTTTTCGTACTGTTGTTTTCAAGCACTTTCATAACGCCTGTTCCTCGTTCCTTCCACTCACAAGTTTCATTACAGTAGCGATACAGCTTACAGCGCTCCTCGAAAATTACCTGAAAACAATCAGATATTTTACAAGGCTGCCTTATGAAGACACCTTTCAGAACCTTTCCGGAAGAATCAAAATCAAATCAAAGAAAAGTATTGAGGAGTTTTCTTGTTTCACGCGCGCTATCCACTCAACTGCGAAAGTCTTATTGAGGAGGGGGAGGGAGAGGGTCACATTCGCACTAGGAAAATCTCCCAGTTGTTGACTTCCTGCGCTTCTTCCCGTTTCACATGTGACGACCTCGCGCTCCTCTGAAGGCAGCCTCTCTCCAGAAACACTAGAAAATTTTTGTGAAAACTGATAGGAAATAGGAAACTTGGGAATGATCAGTAGGATGGGGGGATGGATAGGGGTCGTACCAGAGGAACTTGAGGGGACGGGGTTATCCCCGAGGAGGAACCTGGGAGGGGTCGAAATTTGCAAAAATTTCTGCAATTCCTTCCAATTTCTACTTTGCAAATACGTGCTCTGCGAAGAAGCATTAAAAAAATTCGGCCTCCAGACAATAATAGAATGGCAGTTTCATTCAAAGATCTACCTTTTCATCTTCTTCTCCCGTTACAACGTTCACAAGCTCAGGGAGTGGGCAAACTGGTTTGAAATCCACTTGCGGCTCATATTCTTCAACATGATCGTGATCCTCATCCTCGTCTCCATCTCCTTCTTTCTTCATGCTTGGCTTCGTCTCTGGAGCTGAAAATGGAATGGATTATTTTCCAAATTATTATTTTGGCATAGAATGGACTACTAACTTTTCGAGAACACACTATCGGTAGACTTTATGCCTGCAAAGATATTTGTAGCCGGCTTTGCAGCTTCTGAGACTGCTGGAGACCCAGTAGCTGGTGATGTGTACTTGGGCACACCGAAAGAGAAAGGAGCAGCTTGCGTAGTAGCTTCCGGTTTTCCACCCTATAATGAGTGAAGGGAGATAATACGGAAAGAGAATTCTTCGGACTGAATACATTCAAGCAGGAGCAATGTGCGCTATCATGATCGATGTGTGTGGAGAACTACCTTAACGTCAATGTTTAATGAAGAAATCTGCCCTTTACCTTTGATGGTTCCGATTTTGGTGGCTGAGCGGGACTGGACACAGGCAAGGGTACAGTGACCACTGGTTTTGCACCTCCCACGAACAAACCTGAAAATATTGCTGATGCAACATCTATTGCGAATTGCATACGACTTTGTTTTTGATTTATAAACCGCTGAGACCACCAACTAAGTTAGAATCAAAATTCTACTAACTCAGATACATTCCCTCGTGAAAGTGTACACTGATATCAGTTGAAAATGTACGAAAACGTAATTTCCTTGAATGTTTGTGACCATCAACCATTTGTCAAGAAGGTCATTAAGTGTACACCGCGATAATACTGCTTCAGAGAGTGGAGCAACCTTTAGCCGCACCAAGCATAACTATTGCGCAGGCCATGTGAACCCATCGAACTGATTAGCATATGGTTTGCTTCCCTTGCCCTTCAAGAAAATCAGAAGGTGCGTCTCAGCCCACCCAAATGCAGAAGACAGCCTCCCTTATTACAGGTATCCCTTTGCGCAACTACTTTCAACGCGGAGGGAGCAGGAGGTACTGAAAGATGCTTCTTCGCAGTTCCAGCTACAAGTAACATAGGTCAGACGGTAAGGAATCCATCGAGGATTACCACGATATGAAGTCGCGTGCTCTTCGAAACCGGTTACTATAGTGGCCTGGCAGCATCTTCCAAACGCGCGAAGTCCTTACGCACTTCTTCATAGCGAAAGGGGTAGTTGCTCGTTGTCAACTACGAATCGTCAGCGTTCGCTGTGGGTCTTATCGCCTGCCTCGAAGTGATCGCACCATCTACAAAAGGTGTAGAGCACCAATGCTCTTTTGCCGCAGACAGTGTTTAGGCTAGCCGCTGTGAAAACGCCATGAAGCTCACTGCGCCGTTAGCTCCAATACTAAAGCACCTCTAGGCGAATATGCTCTTCCTAAACCCAGCCCAAGTAAGTGGAGAACCCAACACTATGGCACAGTGAATAAACCAAGTTCGTAGGGCGATCTTTTCCGAGAGGATGCACTCGTTCTTGTCTAACAATTACTCTCTAAATGTGTTGTATTGTATAAGTGACTTTACGAGAATCATTTCCTATCACTCCCCTACTTAGATCCCTCGCAATCCACTTCTCCATTTATTCACCAATGCGTTGTGAGCTGGCCATCCCCTCCCGTCCTGCTTGCCAAGTTCGTCTTTCTGATAAAACACTGGTTCTTGTCTAACAATGTATTCTCTATATGTGTTGTATCGTATAAATGCTAGGTTCGGTTGAACTGAAGAAGGGCTTATCAGTAAAAACTTGGATTACAGGAGCTGGCTGTCATTACATACCTAAACAAAAATCTAACTATTAAACATATCACTACCGCGAAGCTGATAATATTCGTTTCCAGCCTTGATATTAGGTTGGCGGGAAAGTTCTGTCATACTTTTTTGAACCAAGAATTCGCCTATTACTAAGAGGGCTACCCGGTATACGTGAGAATTCTACACATTAAGACTGATCTTAACTATTAGTGCCACTTGGCACGGCTCCTGTCATCCTTATTTTCGCAGTTATGGACAAGACGTCTAATCGCTACCTTAACAAAACACGACCTACTCATCAGGGCGCTTCCCTTGAAACTATTCTTCCCCTATCACCCTGAGCGCGCCAGCATGGCAGCTGGGTCGAGCCGAAATAGTGAGAGCCGCATAAGGACAATGCCATACAGTAATCAGACAATAGTCACGACGCTAAGCTCTTCCAGAGCCGCACGGAGCTCGGTTCGAACTGACGCGAACAGGTGAGCGGAGATACTGTAAATTCAGCTCTAGATAGCGCGCTCAGTCGGGAAGACTGGTTGAAGAAAACTGCCTCCTCGTTCGATCCGTAGCAAGCAGCTACGAGGTCTGACAGGAATGTTCAAGGCGACGGCAAAAATCCATCGCACAGCTCCGATTTTCAACGTGTGATGCAGACACAACGCGTCAAAAAGTTCGGGCCTACTTCATGCACACGAGCTGGATGGCTCTCCCCCTTTGCACCCGTGTAGTTCGCACATTGTCTTTCTGACTGTAATCGCCCTCTTCTTCACGCTATCAGCGCAGAGAAAACCACGACTGAGCGCTACGTCCAAAAGCATTGAGATGATGTCCAACTTTGCGTCGCGCCGGCGTGCATTGTTAAGCATCCACGAACTGTCCAAAAACTGGCAAGGATCTCTCAATAACATTGCTGTATAATTTTGATCTTGTACGCCTCTCTGTAAAAAGAAAGTCTAATTTGAAAAAATGTGACAGAACTTTCCCGCCAACCTAATAAAAGACATTCAGGGTTCACTGCATCAGAGTGGTTACAAGTGAACAAGGGAACGTACCAGATGTTGCAGTAGTAGTTGGCACCGAAGAAGTAGATGTAACTGAGGGGGCAGACGAAGGCAACGAAGCAGCTGTTGTCACAGGGGCAGTGGAAGTGAATGTGATGGGGAAACCAGTACTAGATGAAGGAACAGGAGCAGCTGCTGTAACTGGTGGCACAGTACCTAAAACACCGCCGGCTGACGGCTTCGGAGCAGCAGCTACAGCTGGAGGTGCCAATGGAGGTGCTGCCGCTGCCGCTGGGTGCTGACTAAAAAGAAAATTACTGAGTAGAAGTACATCGGGAGGATATTTATCAAATTATCAAACTACCTTTGCGAAAACGCCCCAGGAATACCACCTAATACCGCCCATATTAATGGAGGGTTGATTACCGAAAAAGCCTGTTGCTTGCATACCAGCCGAACGCATTCTCTAGGAAAGACAGCAAGTCTGACAAAGGTGTTCTAAAAGCTGATAAGTTACCATTACTTGTTGCTCTTGAAGTTGCTGCAGATAACAAGCCGCATAATGAGCCTGAGCTTGAGCTGCAAGGTCATTGAACGATCCAGCAGGTGGTTCCGAAGAAACTGCCTGGTGGAGCAGCATTGGCGTACGCCTCAAATTGATCATTCAAACGGTTACGCTCTTGTACTGAAAAAATTGCACTCACTAGCTGGGCTGGTGTCATTCGCAGTGCTTCTGGCGGGGGAGGTTGCGATTGGGGAGCACTGCTACTTTGGTCCTTTGCTTGCACTAACATCTTCACGAGTTCCATGAGGCGTGTGATCTCATTAGCATGGGTAACATCAGTCCTCCTCAACTCATCTCGGATTGACTTCAGCTCTTCTCGAATTGATTGGGTGGAACTATGTACCTCGACCTGAAAAAGCTTTCAAAATAACTCCACCGATCCGGAATTTTGCGGATGTGGAAAAGCCGCGATTTAAAGTCGATTTCGGAGAATGTTCGAAAAGAAAAAGGAAAGCATATGTAAAGACGTGTAAAGTCCCTTGTTACAGAGGATCGGCTACGGGATTATATGGGAACGGCCGCGTTCATAGGCGACGACTTTGAAGAAATGATGCGTTATTGCTGAATTGGGTGAATCGTAAGAAAGACTAGGTAGAGAACTGATAATTCAGCCTTG